TGTAGGACCTATGAATATGCCTCAAGGGATAAGTACACCAGTTGAGTACTTTATGCTATATTTTACACAAGATATCTTTCAAATGTTTGTTAGAGAGACTAATAAGTATGCAGACAAATTTCTCAGTAACACTGAGCTCAAGAGAAGGTCCATGAGTCGTAACTGGGTGCCTGTTACAGAGATTGAAATGAAGGTATTTATCGCCATAATTTTGAACATGGGGTTGATTCGTAAACCCAATATCAAGTCATATTGGAGTAAATCAAGCTCACAGACAACACCATGGTTTCCCCTAGTCATGGGCAGAGACAGGTTTGAATTAATTTTGAAATTTTTTCACATGGTTGACAGTACACAGCTGCCTAGACCTGGGTCAGATGGATATGATCCATGTGCACAATTCAATCCCTTAGTTGAACATGCAAACAATGTATTTCGACACCATTATAAACCACATAGAGAGATATGTGTAGATGAAAGCCTAATTGGGACTAAAAACAAGACCCAGTTGATGCAGTATCTTCCAACAAGCACCATCATAGATGGGGCATAAAACTTTATATGCTTTGTGATTCCGTGTCAGCCTATCTACTTGGATTTTTCATCTACAAGGGAAAGCGAGATAATATCAATAACCAACCAGACACTAATCAAGGGTTTGCTCACAGAGTTGTAATGAGATTACTCAGATTGGGGTCATATTTGAGAAGGGGATATCATCTCTTTGTGGACAACTTTTTCACAAGTATGCCACTTGAGAATGAATTGGCCCAGCAAAATACACATATAACCGGAACTATTCGCCGCAACAGAAAGGACCTTCCAAAAGGTTTGAAAGTCTCAATGCAACCTGGGGAGATCATTACTTACAGGCAAGGCGAAACACTGGCAACAGCGTTCAGGGAGAAGAAGTCGCAGAAAAAATCTGTTCTGCTCATATCTACAAAAAATAAAGCAGACACAAGAGAAGTTCGCCTTCGGCGGAGAGGCGTACAACAGGGGGGGGGGGATGCACCCCAAACTATACAAAAACCATTGACTGTTTTGGACTACAATAAACATACGGGTGGAATAGATCAGACTGACATGATGCTTTATTTTTTTCTTGATGAAAGGAGAACCATCAAGTATTGGAAAAAGGTTACATTCAATATTGTGGCACGTATGCTGCTTAACGCGTACATTCTATACAAGGAACATTCAACTGGAAAAATCATGGCTAGATATAAATTTAACACTTTAGACTTTAGTCATTGAAGCACTTGTTGCAGAACACATGGAAAATACAAGGGGTACAGAAGCTACAACAAAAGCAGGTATATGCTCTGTGCCCAACAAAGGTGAAAAGGACTGCTCTGTCTGCAGCAACCGAAAAGTACCCGGGGGAAGGAAAAGGAGTAGAACTATGTGCCAGAAGTGTCTGAAGGGCCTCCATGGGCCTTGTTTTCCAAAACACATGTGTTAGGATCTATTCATGCTTCATTCATCAAAAATTTCACACAATTTATACAGGTTAGTCATGTTTATTCTCAGTTTAACAAAAAAAAATTCACGCATAAATTATGCAAATGAAGATTCCTCATTTGCATAAATTTATATATTTCAGTTTGATTTATAAATATTGTATTAGCTTATTGGCTTATTCAATTTCCTACAAGAATATATATGGTTTTATATATGTTAAGTAAATAGTTTATTTTTTATAAATTTTTGTGCAATGTGAGTGCCGAGTTCATAAAAAGTGCTCAGTCTTTTTCGCACATACTGCCCAAAAAGGCTCTGTCTCCAGAGGGTTAAAAAGTGCTATTTTACAGTGTAACAAAGAATGTGACTTATTACTTATTAGAGCAAAATTGAAAAGACGTGGCGTGGGTGCTGGATTTTTCTTGGCCGACGCTAAAGTGGTAGATTACCTATGGAACTATATTTAAAATAGAATTTAAAGATACAATAAAATTATAAACATAAATGTATTCTTACTTGCTTTTAGCTGTACGTCACAATGTTCTTCGTATTTCTTCAATGCTACCGGTTCATGGAAATCTTCAAAACATGGCGCACTTCTCGATTGATAGTCATGGTTCTAAGATGTCAAACCGTCAAACCAACAGGAAGTATCCGTCATAACCGTCACGTGACCAACCAAATATTATAAAGCCCTCACGTGACCAGCCGGGTCCGAATAGAAAAAAAATATTCATGTCTTTTAAGATTCAAATTAAATATTTATATACATTTATTTAATTTTAATTTTTGTTTAAATATCCATGTATGTTTATAACGGCAAATTTGTTCGAAAGGAAAGAAAAATTGTTTGACGGAAATTTGTTTCAAACAAAATTTTGTTTGTAATTTTTTTTAAGAGATTTTTTTTTAAAGTATTTATGAAAATAGTTTTTTTAAACAAATGGGGAAAATGTAACATTTTATGTGAAGTTATTTTTGTTTGTTATCCCCCCCCCACCCCAAACAAAACTCCATTCGAACGAGGATCCGTGGAATAATTTCCCTTCAAACAAATATATGTCGTACAAATTTCCGGGAAACTTTTATTATTCAGCATTTGTGTTGCAACCATGATTTAGGAAACGCCGTTTAGTGCCTTTCCAAATTGTGAAAATGCAATATTTGCTTGTTAATTTACCAACACTTGGATCAGATGTGTCCCATAATTGAACAGTGATGTTTTCCTAAAGTCATGCCACAAATTTTACTCTTCCAAGCTCAACAAATAAAATGTGTACTAATGTCACTCTGTATTTGTGATGCAAAATCCAAGATGATCCGAATAAATTAAATATATTTATATTATTCTCTCTTCGGCATATTTTTTTTTAAAAATTGTATGTCAATCTCTCTTTGAATTTGACTAAACTCTTGACGTTGTTCTACGGGTCACTGGAATGCCCATAACGTTAGTCCTAAATTAAGCTATTAGATGGTTTAAATCATATAATATACACCCTCAAATCCTTGTTTAAAATACTAGTCCATGACAAAACAAGGGGCAAATTAGATAGCAAGGAAAAATCTAATGATTTCCCCTAACAACTGACCAATGTGCACCATGCTTGAAGTTCACCGAATAGAAGTGATTTGCAGAGTAAACTGATTAAATGAGTTGTTGAGGAAAGTGTGTGGACGCTTGAAATATAAGACAGGGTGATAAAAAGAGAATTTTTCGGCCAAGAGCCTTTTTTCAGCACACATTTTTGTCCTGTTTGTTTGAGAAGGCTCCTAGCCGAAATGTCGAAATGTTCTCTATTTATTGTCCTCTGATTATATTTCAAGCTTCTTACACACCCTTTTCCATGATTTCCTTCACACAGTTTGAACGAAGTCCTTCATTTATTATCACAACAAGAGTTTTTACGTTGATTCCACTCGGCCTCAACAAAAGACATAATAATAAAGTAATTACGCTAATGAAAAATTATGCTACACAGCTGAACAAAAAATATTCCTTTCTAGGTATTAACGTCGGTTTCCATCCAATTCTTTAAAGGGTTTTTATTTTCCCCTCGGTATTTTCAATGGGCTTGTGGCTACAATTTTAAATATTAAATTCTCTGCATTGTCCTTGTTGATACGGTAAATTTGCTCCCTTCGTTTCAACCATTATCAATAATACGGAATGTGGAAAAAAAAAATCTTCAGCAGCTGGAGAATCCAAGCAGCATGGAAATGAGAAGCATCATTTAGGTTTGAGGGGAAGGAAGTGGTGAGGCTGTAGTGCCACAGGGCTGTCCTAAGGTGTAAATATGCAACATAAAATAAAGCTTAAGTTCAATAACTCGAGTTCATTTATTTAAAAAACACCATTTTTTATTATATTGTATCCAGTATGACAAAAAATGTTTAAAAACGAAAACTGTGGATAAAATTATAAATAAAATTAATTCATAATTCAAGTTACGCCTATTAAATCTTTCTTTGATTCATCAATTGCGTTGGTATTATTATTATTATTATTATTTAAAATTATTTTTAGTTGAAAATTCATCCATTTATTAAAAGAATTAAATCGTTACAATAATTTCAGTTAGCAAAAGATTTATTTTTTAGATTGCTCTTAAATTGTGCACATTTTTTATAACAAAACTTTTATACAAATTCTCCTTTGTTCTACAACTGCAAAATTACACAAATATATACGTTTACAATTTCAAAAGCCCCAGTCATTAAAAATAGTATAGTGTTATTGAAAGAATTTATCACAGCGTATCATCCTGGACGATGTTCTATTTACTATGTGTGGGAGAGGAATGGAGAAAGATGGGATGATCGCAATCAGGATCTATAATCATTCGCTCAACGTTGGTTTGACAGGATATCGAGTTAAAATGATCATGTTATCTTTTAACGTTAACATCATTTTCAGAATATTATCAGAGGCATAACTAGGATACATATATGCTGATCATTTCTGGTTATTATAACCAGTTATAAGTTATACGGTATTTTCAAATAGTTTCAAACGTAAAAACGTGTTATACTGTAATATTAATTTAAATATATTATCATTTTATATATTTAAAAAACGAAATGATTTAAAAAATGACACCCACAATTCTAAAACTTTCATTATTATTTAAATTTCACCCAGTCTAAGCTACTTAAATGACGTAATTGAATTGAGCTGTACACAATGTTCCCTCTAAGGTTTGCTGGTTCGTGTGCAAAATCATAAAGTTGTGTGCAAAATTTTACAGCATCAATTTTTTTTTTGTGTGCAAAATTGTACAGCCCACAAACAAAAACACACACTTACATGGAAATTTGTTGCTCGGATACTCAAAACTGCTGCGTGGCGTCTGTGAGTTAGCTGCGCGGCCGCGCAGCCGCGTACCTTAAAGGGAACATTGCTTTACAATTTACTTTTTAAGACGTGGAGTTATTTTTCAAATTGTTCCGTCTAATTTTAACAACTGTTTAATTGTTAACAAAGGCTAGCTTTAAAAATTCCATCCCCCAGAAATCTAGCACACGGGATTAGTGGTGGCCCTTCGTGCTGATTGCCTGCCCACTGCAAACTTTGTGGTCAAAGGAAAAACAGCTTTGTGTTTTGTTTTCTTTAAAGTAGAAAAATTGTGGGTATATTGAAACAGCCCAACTCAAATGTTTCATCAATCAATTGGTGCCCAGCCTCGACCGCCACGCAGCCTGTGAAGTGATTGTCCTTATAATCCAGGTCGTGGAAAATAATACATAGTACGGCCTCAGGGTGGACAAAGGAAATGTCCGAGCAGAGTGAAGGTGGGTTTTTCACTTTAAAGAAGAAAAATTTACAAACGAAAATTTATAAAATTGAAGCAGACTTGTTTTTCGAAATTTTTATTTTGTATAATAAAATAAAGGAAAATAAGTATTGCAAAAAAAAAAAAAAAAAAAAAAAAAAAAAAAAAAAAAAAAAAAAAAAAAAAAAAAAAAAAACAAAAAAAAAAATTAAAAAAAAAAAATTAAAAAATAAAAAAAAATTTTTTTTTTAAAATTTTTATTTTTAAAAAAAAAAAAAAAAAAAAAAAAAAAAAAAAAAAAAAAAAAAAAAAAAAAAAAAAAAAAAAAAAAAACAAGATGAGCGGAAAATATTGCTGGTCATCAACAACATTTCAGTAAATATTGATCGTCATCAACAACATCTCAGTAATTATTGCTCGCCATCAACAACATCTCTGTAAATATTGCTAGTCGGCCATCGGAACTAGTCTATGTGACAAGTTTCAGCCCGATAGGTGGACGGTAAGTGAGTCAATTAGCCTTCCGAAGATTTGGCCGGCCACCCAACCAGAAATACGCAATCAAAAGAGAATTTAATATAAAAAAAATACAATTTGTGCTATTTCTCTGGGGAAAAAAATGGTGACATTTTTCTCAACTTTCAGAGGAAATTAAATTATTACTTCATTTTTAAAAAAAAAAAATTATTAATTAATTTTATCCTGTTATTTACGTCCACGAGAGAGCATCACTTTAGCAGCTTTAATTCCAGTGAATTAATTACGAAGTTACATATTGAAAGACCGAATGGATCCGCGTAATAATAAGATCTTCTTCTAAACCAAACATTGACCTAAATCCTCACAATAAAACGAGATAAAACTTCCGTACAAAAAACGAACACCTAGAAACTTGATTTAAAGAACTTTTAAACAAATGTCGTTAATGCCTTTGATGTTTAGCAAACTAACTGATGTTTACATTCCACAGGCGGAGAGAAAAATTAAAGGGGAAAAAAAAAATAATTTGTAAAAGTTGTTCAAACCTGATAACTTCTTGTCAAAAATTATTGTTTCGTCCAGGGTGAAGAGAAATTCGAATCCAAATTCATCCACAAGGTATGTCACGCTCAGACGGACTAGAAAATGGAAGAAAAAAAAGCAGACTTATGTTGTTCTTGTTTTGTTGGTATTTTTGTTGTTGTTGTTTATTTAAAAGACATTTTATTACAGTATTACTCCTGTATACTGTTACTTTGTAACAAATCCGTTTATTTCTGTGAGATTCTATGTAAACTGATTGAAATTAGATATTTTATAAAAATAAAAGAATACTTTTCAACAGCATGATGAAGAATTTCAGATTTATACTAACTTTAAATCCACAGTCGTCTCGGAAGTTTATAAAATGTATTGAGTGACCGAAACATAAACCAAACAAAACAGCTGTAGTTTCCAGATGAAACCACTTCCATTTTGAAATGTTCGATTCAGATAAATAAAAAATTAAAAATTAAAAAAATCCAACATTCTATTGTTATATGATTAAGGCTTTTATTATTGTTATAATTTAATGGCTTTTATTATTGTTATAATTTAATGGCTTTTATTATTGTTATAATTTAATGGCTTTTATTATTATTATAATTTAATGGCTTTTATTATTATTATAATTTAATGGCTTTTATTATTATTGTATTTAATGGCTTTTATTATTATTATAATTTAATGGCTTTTATTATTATTATAATTTAATGGCTTTTATTATTATTATAATTTAATGGCATTTTTTCAAAATTTATTAACGCCTTAAAAAAAATAGAATAAAATATTTTTCTTAAAATCTAAGAAGTAAAAAGTTAAGGCAATCGGCCTGCCTACCTGTTTTATTGAGTGAGATCTGTGGCACCTCCAGATGCATGTAACAGCCACACGTGTAGTATTGACACGAACAGTCTTCATTAAGTCTCCAGTCTATTTGGATAGTCATTACTTCATTATTACTTAATCAGTTAATTACAGATTTAAAAAAAAACGACCTAGGATCTACACACGTGTGGATTCACCCAGCTTTAAGTTGATTTATCATTAGATTCTCGACTAGATGATTCTCACTTATTGTTATAGAAAAATTAGAGGATTTCTTTAAATACATTTAAAAAAAAAAAGAGTTTGTGATATTAATAAAAGTAAAACAAATAAGTCTACCTAAAATGTTAAAGGAAATTAAAATATGTTCCAAGATTTAAAGAGATAAGATTATTTCCAAAATTGTCCTTTTGTGAAAAATAAATAAGCCATATCCATTCCAGCCCCCTTCCCGCCCCACCCCACCTCCCCCCTCCCACCAAACCGCCCCACTTCGTTTTTTTCACCACTATTCTCTCATTGAAGTACAAACAAAAAATACTTTTTTTCTAAGGCTTAATTACGATTTGACCTCAAAATTTTTAAGGAATAAAAATGGTATATGCCATTATACTTTATTTTTTAAGCTACTTATTTAATAAATTAATTATTTTCGAAACATTGTTTTCGTTATATAAACGGATATTGAAATGGAAACTTTATGTAGATATATATATTTAATTATTTCTTTTCCTGCATTATATTGAAAAAATGAATCATATTTTATTCCAATAAACCAACCAATCTTAACGTAATCATTTTTAAAAATAGACTATATAAGAAGTTCAGAGAAAAAAATGCAAATTGTATTCAAGTAGATTTTTTTTTATATAATTACTTAACTTTTTTTTATTTTAAGCTATATTACTTTTTTTATATTAAATTCACTAAAAACTTAAGTATCTTAGAAAAAGTCTAAAACTTGTTTTTTCTCATGCAATTAAATCACAGGGATGCCGGATAAAAGTATAATGCAGTTCCAAAAAAACAGTTGAGGCGACTACACTTGACACATTTGCGTCTATTACCTCCTGTCTTCCAACCCCCAGTTCATAACACCATTGCAGAATAGCCCTTGCAACCAGTGTAGTATCCCTTTCAAAACCATGCAAAGTTACATCTCAAACCCCTCTGAAACATAGGAGCCATAATGATCAATTCATTGATCGTGGGCCTTCAAAATATAGAAGAAGATATAAAAAATTCAATTCATCATATCAAGAGAATTTACGAGCACCGCAGCACATGCGTTAGGGCAATTCGCTTCGTGGACTTCTTACATGACTGACTACAAGGGTTTTTTTTTAAGCCACGCTTAAGGGAAGACATGCCTTCCTATATTATGTGCTACAAAGAAAGCGACAAAGAACACTCCCAAAAACGGAATTCTCATTGAAAACACGCACGTGTGAAATACCAGAAAGTCGTTTTAGAAGAAGAAGCTGATTAAAATGGATAACAACATTTTACTGAGACAAAAAAGCGTGTAACGAAGTTAAATCAAACCTTGTCTTAGTTTTATTAAAAAAACAAACAAAACACTAAACTTACTAAATAATCAGCAAACACGCCTGCAAGAAGAAAATGCAAATGAAAAATTATTAAAAGTTGTTTTCTAGGCTAAAATTCTATTTATTTTTGCATGCAGGGAAAATTAATGTTACCTTTCATGAATTCTTCAATATCTTCTTTGGCTTTTATTGCGTTTTCTTTCACAATTTCACCGACATAATTGAGCTCTTTAACCAATTCTTTTTCCGCTTTGATAGCATTTTCTTTAACGATTTCTTCGACGTTATTGATATCTTCAATCATTTCTGTTTCCGCTTCAATGGCATTTTCTTTAACAATTTCTCCGACCGCATTGAGTTCTTTAACAAATTCTGTTTCTGCTTTGATGGCATTTTCTTTGATAGTCTCTCCGAATTTATTAAAATCTTGAACCATTTCTGTTTCCGCTTCAATGGCATTTTCTTTAACAATTTCTCCGACTTCATTCAGCTCTTTGACAAATTCTTTTTCCGCTTCAATGGCATTTTCTTTAACAATTTCTCCGGCTTCATTAAGCACTGTGACAAAAAAAAATTCCGCTTCAAGGGCATTTTCTTTAACAACCTCTCCGACTTTATTGAAATCATCAACTATTTCTGTTTCCGCTTTGATGGCGCTCTCTTTAACAATCCCTCCGACTTCACTGAGTTCTTTAACAAATTCTCTTTCCGCTATAGCGGTGTTTTCTTTAACAGATTCTACAACGTCTTTGATTGTATTCAACATTTCGTTTTCGGCTTCAGTGGTGTTCTCTTTCAGAATTTCTTCAACATCTGTTAGTGCCTTCAATAAATCAAGCGATTGGGAACTATGTAGGAAATATTAATTATTAATAATGAGAGCAAGAATTAAAAAAAAAAATTCTTTACAGTCTCTGAAAAATATATATTTTCATTTAAGTTAATATGATTAAAAATAATTTTTTTTTTTAGCTTAATGATTTTTATATAACAAATATAGCATTGTCATGAGTATATTATCATTTATAAAAATTATTCTTAATATCATACATTACTTAAGAACTATCAAGTCAGAATCTTTATACCATTTTTTGAGGGAAAAAAATTGTTTTAGAATATTGCTAAAAATAAATCATGCTACTTTTTTCGTCTTTGTATGTTGTTTTAGAACAGCCCTTAATTTGAGAGCACCCTTTAAAGCTTTGGCCAAAATTATACAGTCCCTAAAAAAAAAAATTTTCGTTTTAATTTTATATGCATTTTTTGTGTGACTCTGCGATAGCAACAGTTCTTAAGAAATTATTGCGTCCTATTTCCTTCATCTTTATCTTTAAAAAAACAGGGGAAGCTGATTTTGTGAGGGTGGGGCTGAAAATTTCATAAAATGTGTTGTCATCGGCATCAAATCCATGTGCAAAGTTTCATCTTGATAGGATGACGGAAAGTGTGTCAAGTAGCCCCTATTCCTCACCCCCCCCCCTCAAAGATTTTGCCAGAAAGAAAAAACAGGAAGAAAAGCGAAGTTAGTTTAATTATTTGGTGGTTGGAGGTGGGGCAAAAAAATTTGACAAAAACATGCATCCACATAAGGTACTTTAAAATAAACCCAATTAGTCCCCCGTCCCCCCACCCCCCCCCCTTTTGCAAGGCTCTCAACTGCACTATTATTTTTTACGCCTCTGAACTAAATTAATATTCTAATGTCCCACCCGCTTTCATAACTCAGATTAATTTCACCAGTAAAGCAGTAAATCAAAAAGAAAATATTACGCGCCTAACGCTATTGCTGTATTTTCAAGGATCTAATTCACCGCGGGTATCAGGGATTTTATTTGGTGAAATCAGTGGCATCTGGTAGCGTTAGAACTGATTTTTGTAAAGTTTGGTTGGTTGGGGAGGGGGGGGGTTGTAGGGGTAGAGGTAGGGTTGAGAATTGGAATGATTTTATTGTTATCGGTAACAAGTCTGTGGGCCAAGTTTCAGCTCGATTTGCAAAAAAAAAAAAAAAAAAAAAAAAAAAAAAACATGAACAAAAGCTTTATGGGATTCAAAAGTATAATTAGGTCTATTTGCTTGCTTGCTTGTAATTAGTTTTTGTAGTGTTGCGTTTGTTTTAAATGTGATAAATTGTATTACTTTGTACCGAGCTTCGAGCCTTTGGGGATGAAGCGTGTTTTTGAAATAAACTTTATTATTATTTCACATCACAAAAAGAAAATTATCTACAGAAAAATGAATTGTTATATTCAGAACATAGATACTTTCACTGTGATTGTCCGTCTTCGTTTATAGCTTGAAATAGATAAACCATCTCGCCAAAACAGACCATACGTTTTCTTCACTGAACGATAATGTACTTTAAAAGCAAATTAAAGTTAATAAATTAAATTATCAAAATAGATTTTATTTATTTGAAAAGCTCTGATGTAGTGGATTTTAAGAATAGGTAAATACACATGGTTCAATCTTTGAAAATGTGTTCCTTTAAAACATTACCATTGGTTACATCTTGCACTTACCACACACACCCTAGACCATAGTAGCACCACAAACAGTTAGCTTAACTGGAAGTGACTCGAATTGTCATGTTTCACAAGATGTATTACTCAAACTTGACACCTAGAAAAGATAAGAGCCTACCTTTTGATGCAAATGCCAAATACAGTCATCCATAAAATAAGTTTATTCATCGCTAACTCGATCAAAGCACGATGCAGAAGGTGGGGAAGTGAGTTGTCTAAAGTGTTTAGATGTGTAGATTGATTCTTAAGCAACCCACTGACCTGTCAGATATGCAATTTTCGAACACGTCAGCAATGTGACGATCTTCCTAGTAACACATTTCAAATGGATTAGTGTTGTATTTCTGAGCAATATTTTTTTATAATAATACAAAATCATTAAAATTGTACGTCTTAAGGGGAAACCCAGACTCACGAGTTGTGTAAGATATAGAAAAGTAGGTTTGGGTACACAGTTCTGGATACCTGTTATATTAAAGCGTTATTACGTTCATTGTTCTCTCTCTTTCTCTCTTTCTCTCTCTCTCTCTCTCTCTCTCTATATATATATATATATATATATATATATATATATATATATATATATATATATATATATATATATATATATATATATATATATATATATATATATATATTTTCTCTCTCTCTCTCTCTCTCTCTCTCTCTCTCTCTCTCTCTCTATATATATATATATATATATATATATATATATATATATATATATATATATATAGAGAGAGAGAGAGAGAGAGAGAGAGATCAGTGGCTCTTAACCTTTCATATGCGCATTCACCGAACCCTTCTTAATAGTAAAAATAAAATATGGTTTTTTTTTCTGATTTTTTTTTGACATCCGCCGAACCCCTGAGACTGACTCGCCGAACTCCTGGGGTTCGATCGAACTCAGGTTAAGAACCACTGCTATAGATAGATAGATTATTGGAAAACGGGAATATCCCATAACTGACGTCGGTCATGCAGCGTTAAGGAATACACCATAAATGTACTTGGGAGTTGTTGCTTTTTTCTACATGTACTTCCAATTCGTCAGCACACAATCTTACTTTAGTTTCGAACCTAAACAACTTTACAAATTGATTTGACCTTGAAATCTTAAGTTCGCAGTAAACACGCATACACCTGAGAAACACCTGTGAACATTTACAAATTGACTGGCTAAATAGGGCACTCTGAATTATTAAGTATTATAAAACAACTCCTGGGAAGTCAAGAAAAAAAATAATTATGTTTGTAAGAAAAAATGATATGAGTTTATTTGGATGTGTGCCTTGGTGGGCTTTTAAACCTAGTAGCATTTAAACACTTGACTGTAATGAGATGGTTTTGTAATGATGCAATTTTGGATTCGCAAAAAAATTATATACTCTCAAAAATAAAAACAGGGAAGTGTCTCAATGTTAAAAAAAAAAATTATAGAGATTGGTAAAATGACATGGCATTCATTCAATGATCGCCTTAAGACACACAATGACTGCGTTCATGAATGGCAGATGTAAACGAATGATTGAATCGTCATAGAAGCTACATCATGTTAAAGCGAAACAAAATAAAAGAAAACAAATCAACCCGTTATAGATGAGACATAGAATGGACAACGTATCTCTTGGCGACACCAGCAATTTTTAAAAATTCAATTTGTTTAACACATGATTAGGAAAATATCATTTTTGATTAGGGTGGCGTGTACACCGATTGATTCAATTTGTCCAATGCGGACAGCGTGTTCTAATGTTATGTGATAAGTAATGGCGGGGGAATAAAATTAAGGCAAAAAATATAATAAAAATAATAATAAATTCGGTACATTTGGTATAAGAAGAAAAATTCATCTAAAAGTTATAATTAATTATGATAAAGAAAACTGAGATGAATTTTAGTACAACTCCAAAAAATAACAACTTTAAAAAAAAATTAGAATAAATGGTAGTATAAATAAAAAAAATATAGTTCTCGAATGGAAAAAAAAAAAAAAAGAATATCAATAACATTACAATTTCAAAGTTACAGAGATGAAATCACTTTTCATTTACAAGGAATTTTAACGTTCTATTCTCGGTTATGTCTAATATCACAAGATTAAAATAAGATCAGTGGTACTCGCATATATATACATAAGAGCTCTCACACACCCATATTCAAGAATGCTTTGGTTCAAAGTCAGTGTAGGACACTATGATGTATGTTAAACAAAAAGTTGTACAGTTTGTCCTAATGCCATTCGGCCAATGGTGTACCGATTGTCAAATGTGGCGACTATGTAAATTAGGTTAAACTTCCGTTATGTTATATGTATAAGTCAGGACAAATGAAATAATAATTAATTAAATATTAAAAAATGGAGAGGAGTTAATTTTTATTAAAAAATTATTGTTCATTGCATGGTAGAAAAAAACAACACAATTTTTATAATTGCTAATTTCAACATTAGTAAAATTTAAAATTTAAGCAGCTTAAAGAGAGACTAGACACTGATAAATGCATTCATGAAATAATTTCATTCTCCAGCACACTGACCTTCCATAATTTTTTTTTTTTAAAAGCAGTAATGTTTTTACTACATTTGCATACAGTTCACTTTATGAAAAAATTCATAAGCATTACATTCATTGATCTTACATAAAAAAAAAACATTCAAATTCAACACTTCAGAAATAAACTTATTTTGATGTTATAATATTAAATTGTGAGACGTTGGCTACATTTTTGTGTAAATACTTAAAAAAATATCAACTCTTAAAACAGAGTAAAATGATTATGAAACACCATATAGGAGCCAAAATGATCAATAAATTGATCGTGGGCCCTTAAGATATAGAAGAAGAAGAACAACAATTTACAACGAATGACATTTAATGAATTTAAAAAAACATTTTTAATTGTGCACTTTTTGGAGTATTTTGATTATTTATAATTAACAATCATTCATCAATCAACAATTATAAAACTATGTATGTAGGCTTTATTAAAAAAAGCTTAGTTCTTGAAAATTACTTTTACCACCATGCAAATTTTTTACACATAAATTGGTGATTTTGGTACAGACACAGAAGCTAATGCACACTTCAATTTTAGGCAAATTCCAACTACAAAATAGATATAATTTTTTGAAAACTTTTTGCAACTAAAACAATAATACATTTGTACCACATGTCCTTTAGGCAATATTTAGGTATAAAAATTCATATTGAAATTTGATATTTGTCATTAAAACAATTAAACATTTCTTCCACCCTTGTTTTAAAAAAACAATTGGTTTAAAAGTACTTTTTGTCGAAATAAATCTAAACTGTGACTTTTTCTTATCCAGTTTAGCCAAGTATGTTGCAAAAATTTGAACACATTGAAATGTCCCTTATGAAACAAGAAGAAATATGAAAATGATCACCTTTTATAGATGATAAGAATATTTAAACTTGATTATCTCAAAATGTGTATTTTTTTACTTAAGTACTTTTAGCACTAAGGTCTTCAAGTTGTCACTTTTCATTACAATAAATATGTATATATATATTGTCTATATATTTATATCATCCATAATTTGAACTATAATATTGACATAAATAATTAACTGAAACTTAAAAACTCTCAGTCCTACAAAAAATGGTATTAGTAGTAAACATGTTTAAAAAATGTAACAACCCCAAAATGTGTAATTCTCTTAACTTAAATATCAATATAATGACGGATAAACTCTTGCTATTGGTTTTTAAATTATGATATGTGTTTCAGGGATTAACGATTCTATGTTAGCGTTAGAGTAGGAAAAGTGTGGGTATTCCGAAGCAGCCCAACTTCAATGTTTTAACAAGAACCGATTCCAGCTCAGCCTCGAGAGATGCACAGCCGGTAAACTGCATCTCCTTATAATCCAGGTCATGGAAACGAAAACATATTCTCGCCAGATGGTGGACAAATGGACCTCCTGTGCATAGGGCCGGTGGATTTTTCACTTGAAAAAAAAAAAAAATTAATGAATGCAAAATGTAAAAATATTTTGAACCTTTTCATTATTAAAAAAAAATCAATTCTAAGAACTTTGATAAGAAAATTTACTGCAGCCTTCATTTATATAAACTAATAGATGTTTTACAAACGCAGTGAAACAGAAAGGATGTTTTTGTGCCATTATTCCAGTAACTTCTTTATGAACAAAATTTAATTTGTTTTCAAGATTATTTTCATTCCTATCTATCCAACAAAAATGTAGATATAATCTTTTGGCATTTGTTTTAGATTTTGAAATGTAACCAAATGCGAGAGGCAATGCTTGCAGTTTGAAAAAAATTTAAGATTTTTGTTTTTGAAATATTTTAATTCTTGTCTTTTAAGTTAAAAAAAACCAACAAAATAGACAATAAAAGACAGATGTCACAGATTAAAATTAGGGAAAAAAATAAATGATTGCATTCATTTGAAAGTTCCAACTACAAATAGTTTAAAAGAATGTGTAAAATATGCAAATACCTGATAATTTCCTATCAAAAATAACGTTTCCATCCAGAGTGAATAGAAATTCGAATCCAACTTCATCCGCAAGGTAAGTCACGCTCAGACAACCTGTAGATTAAATAAAAAATACGATGAAATAAATTGGACAAGTTTCTGTTTTAAGTAGATCACTTTTTAAAAAAATTTCTGACTCCTACTCTATTTTGCTTTAGTAATATTTTGTAATAAATATGTTTCATTATAAAACTCAAATCAAAATAATTAAAATCATCTTCTTTCAGTTTACAAATTAATTATACTTCATCATGTGTGTTTGGGATAAATTGTATATATGATAAACTTTGAGGTAAAGGCTTTAGGATGATGACATTAGGCCTAGTGCGAACAATTTGCATGTGAAAACATGTGTTTGGGAGGCTGTATTTGGTGCTAACAATTGTTGTACATACCTGTATTGTTGAGTGAGATCTGGGGGATTTCCAGATGCACAGAGCAGCCACACATGTAGTGTTGACAAGAACAGTTTTTATTGAATCTCCAGTCTTTTAAAGAGACAATAAAAAGATTATCTTAAACACAAGAATGCATAGACATCTATGATGAATCAAAAAACAAAACAATTCATTAAATTTGGTCATGATATTTTGAAAAGTTTTTTTTTATTTCTGCACTCATAAATAAATCAGGTGACCATTTAATTATAGAAAGTGGATTGAGTCATATTATTATTCATATTTAACCGTACATTCTATCTACTATACACTAGGAATTCTATCACCAGATGATGCCAAAAGAGTGATTTTTTTAATTAAACCTAAAGTTAGGTTCTCATTAAATAAATTAAAGTATTGTTGAAATTTAGAAGAAAATAAATATATTCTAGCCTCCAAAAATGTAATGTCTGTTTTGAAAAGGATGAGAATATATTCTTCTATGTTATAAAATACACTAAAAATTAAAAGCAATATATTTTAACTTAAGCACAATTTCTGAACTTTCTGTAAAACCTAAACTAGTTTTACCTTCAAAAACCTCTTCAACTTTCCTGATGTCTTCAACCACTTCATTAACAGCTTTAATTGTGTTATCTTTCAACGTTTTTCCAACTATTTTGAGATCTTTAGCAATTTCCTTTTCAGCTTCAATGGTGTTTTCTTTCACAATTTCTCCAAATTTTCCCAGATCTTTTACAACTTCCTTTTCAGCTTTAACACTATGTTCTTTCACAAATGCCCCAAATTCTTTTAGTTCTTCTACCACCACTTGTTTGACCTTAATTGCTTTTTCGTAAACACTTTCTTTAACATTTCTGAGAATTTTCATCAGGTCAAATGAGTTAGACCTATTAGAGAAAAAAAATAATATTATTAAATATTAATAATATTTAATTGTTATATGTGTAGTTACTAGTTAATATTATAGGTTATTTCTAAAACTAAAAAGACTGTTTTTGTTTAGTCTGAAAAGTTAATAAATGTGTTTGCCACTAAGAAATTTTATAACTCTGTAAACTCTGTAATGTAAGGCTGTAAACATTAATAATGATTCATGATTCATAATAATCATAATCATTGCCCTAATGTAGGCTTACTATATTATTATTTTATATTATATTATATACTGTCAATATTGAAAGTATATAACTATGTATTGTATAAGTTGAACGTAAATTTCCATTGTTCTTCATGGCCCTCTAATATAATTTACTAAATTAACAAAGAGATTTTGTATAGTCATCATATTATTTATAGTTATAAGTATAAGTCAAGTAGTAGTAGCATAAGTAAGTTAATTAGTTATATAATAGTAAATAAATAGTGTTAGTGTTATAGTTGTACTATTATTATACAGTATACAGATTACTGATACAGTAAGTTTTCATTATTTATTATTACCTTATTTAAGACTTAATTAAAAAAATAGGTCTAGTTTTAAAAATTCATACTATACATAATTAATTTTAATTAAATTCAACAAACCTTCCTTGACCATAATGAATGTCCATAATGACCATCATATTCATATAATATAATAACATCACTAATTTAGTCACTAATAATTTATTTAGAAGTAAATCAAAAATACAAGAAAACAAGAGTCCTTAATCTTTAAAAAAAAAAAACTATTGATCTATTGACCATGTTTTTAAATTGAAAACCTACCTTCCGATGCAGAGGCAAAATACAGTCGTCATCAAGAAGAATGTATGCATATTTGTTTCTAATTGCGATCCGCATATCATTTATTAGAAATAAAAGATATTGTTTAACTTTAGAAATAAAGATTAATTCAAGATCAATGGCAAGCCTAATCATGCATAGAATTTTGAATGCATCATCCAACAAATGAAAATTCATGTCTAACAGCATACATCATGCAATCGCATCGGTATCGGCTTAAGCCAGCAAATTAAAATCCCCAAACACAATAAGTGTCAACGGGAACTCCCGAACTGAAAAGGTTATTTCTCATAATTATACAAAATGTCAAGGCCTTTGGAAGCAGTTCTAAGTATTAGTATTAAAAGAAAATTAAATTTAAAAAAAAAAAAAAAAAAAAAAAAAAAAAAAAAAAAAAAAAAAAATTTTAATTTGTATAAAATTTAAAAAAAAAAAAAAAAAAAAATAAAAAAAAAAAAAAAAAAAAAAAAAACAACAAAAAACAACAATACCTTTTGATTTGTATTAGATTTCAACAACAAATGTATCCATATCAGTTAAAAACTTTAATATTACACTAAATTACAGAATAACTTTGAATAAGATTTACGCATTCTTTACCATTTCAGGTAATGAGTAATAAGACAAAGTAAGGTAAAACCTGAAAAAAGGTTGCACTTTAACGAAAGTGATCTTTTTAATACATTACAAGGGGCCGTCCATTAATTTAGTCATACTCTCAACAGTTCCAGCATATCATCCTGACAATTTTGTTGGAAATAGATTTTTGAAAATCTTTCTTTTTTTACTCATTACCTAACCAATAACTTCGGAGAATGCTTTAATGTATTTCAAAAAATTTATTTAATAAGACAAAAACCCTTTTTGAAAACAGATTTTAAAAATGTATCTTTGTTGAAATTCAATTTATTTAATATGAAAGAAGATGCTTTATTGAATCATTTTACAATTCATTTACTTAGTTCCGGAGCCAAGAAAGGGAAACATCAAAACAGATGATCCATGAAGAGATTAGAGTAGTCCATATATTTTTATAGAGTGGGCCTACAGCTCAAACCTATCATTGTATCTTTATGTCAATCCCTTATCAATATTTAATAAATCCCTCTCAATATTTATACATCAACTCTCAATATTATATAAATCACCTATCATCCCCTCTAAATATTTTATAAATCCCATATTATCCCCTCTCAATAATTTATAAATCCTCTCTAATATTTTATTCATAACCTCTAAATTCTTTATAAATCTCCTATAATCCCCCTCAATATTTTATAAATTCCCTGTCAATATTTTATAAATCCCATCTCAATGGTTTATACATTCCCTCTCAATATTTTATAGATTACCTCTAATATTTTACGAATCCCATCTCAATGGTGTATACATTCCCTCTCAATTTTTTATAAATTCCCTGTAATATTTTAAAAATCCCATCTCAATAGTTTATAAATTCCCTCTCAATATTTTATAAATTCCTTGTAATATTTAATAAATCCTTTCTAATTGTTTATACATTCCCTCTCAATATTTTATAAATCCCATGTCGATAGTTTATATAGTTCTTCTCAAATTTTTTTAAATTTCCTGTAACATTTTATAAATCCCATCTAAAAATTTATAAATTCCCTCTTAATATTTTATAAATTTTCTGTAATGTTTTCTAAATCCCATCTCAATGATTTATACGTCACCTCTCAATAATTTATAAATTTCCTATCAATATTTTATCAATCCCAACTCAATGGCTTACATATTCTTTCTCAATAATTTATAAATCCTATCTTAATGGTTGATACATTCCCTCTCAATATTTTATAAATTCCTAGTCAATATTTGTTAAATCAAATTTCAATGGTTTATTTATTCCTAGTCAATATTTTATAAATTCCATTTCAATTTTATAAATCCCATCTCAAAGGTTTATATATTCCATCTCCATTATTTATATATTCCCTGCAATATTATATAAACCTATCTCAATTGTTTATAGGCCTACATTCCCTCTCAATATATTATAAATTCCCTGTAATATATTATAAATTCATCTAAATGGTTTATATATTACCTTTTAATATTTTATAAATTTCTTTCAATAGTTTATAAATCCTATCTCAATGATTTATACATTCCCTCTCAAAATTTTATAAATTCCCTGTAAAAATTTATAAATCCCATCTCAATAGCTTAAATTTTCCCTCTAAATCATCTATAAATTTCGTGTAATATTTTATAAATCTTATCTCAATGATTTAAACATTCTCTCTTAAAATTTTATAAATTTCATGTAATAATCTATAAATCCCATCTCAATGGTTTATATATTGCCTTTCAATTTTTTTCTTCATTCCATGTAAAATTTTATAAACCCCATCTCAATTGTTTATAAATTCCCTGTAATAATTAATAAATCCCATCTGCATGGTTTATACATCCTTTCTCAATATTTTATAAATTCCGTAATAAATATTTCATAAATCCAATCTCAATGATTACAACATCCCTGCTCAATATTTTGTAAATTACATGTCAATTTTTGATAAATCAAAATCTCATCTGAATGGTTATAAATTCTGTTTGAATATTTTATAAATTACTTGTAACATTTTATTAATCCCATCTCAAAGGTTTATACATTCCCTCTCCATTATTTATAAAATTCCTGTCACATTTTATAAATCCCATCTCAATGGTTTATACATTCCCTCTTTATATTTTATATAATCCCTAGAATATTTTATAGATCCATCTAAATGATTTATGCATCCCATCTCAATAATTAATTCTCTTTCAATATACTATAAATCCTTTCTCAATGTTTTATACATTCCCTTTCAATATTTTATAAATTCCTTGCAAAATTTTATAAACCCCATCTCTATGGTTTATAAATTTCCATATCAATATTTTATAAATTTCCTGTAATATTTTATGAATCTTATCTCATTATTTTATGCTTTTGCTATAACTAAATTATAAATTCTCTGTCATAATTTATAAATCCCATCTAAATCCTTTATACATTACCCTCCATTATTTATAAATTTCCTGTAATAATTTTTAAACCCCATCTCAATAGTTTATAAATTCCCTCTCAATATTTTATAAATTCCTTGTAATATTTTATAAATCCAATCTCAATAGTTTATACATTCTATCTAAAAAATGTATAAATACCTTGTCAATATTTTATAAATCACATCTCAAAGGTTTATAAATTCCCTGTCAATATTTTATAAAATGTAAGTCAATATTTTGTAAATCCCATATGAATGGTTTATACATTCCTTCTTAATATTTCATAAGTTCCCTGTAATATTTAAAAATTTCTTCAAAATGATTTATACATTCCATCTTAATAATTTATAATTTTTCTGTAATATTTTATTGAACCCATCTCAATGAATTATGCATAACCTCTCAAAATTTTATTAATTCTTTGTCAATATTTAATAAATTCAATTTCCATGTTTTATAAATTCTCTCTTAATATTTTATAAATTCACTGTCAAAATTGTATAAATCCCATGGTAATTGGTTATACATTCCCTTCAATATTTGATACATTACCTGTAATATGTTTTAATTCACATCTTGTTTTTATATTCATTATGAATATTTTATAAATTTCCTGTAATGTTTTATAAATCACATCTCAATGGTTATACATCCCATCTTAATATTTTATTAATTCCCTGTCAATAATTTATCAATTTCCAACTGAATGGCATATACATTTCGTCTCAATATTTTATAAACTCCCTGTAATATTTTATAAATCCCATCTTAATGGTTAATACATTCCCTTTCAATATTGTATAAATCACATTTCAATTCCTTATAATTCCCATTTGAATATTTTATAAATTCCCCTTTCATTTTATGAATCCCATCTCAAAGATTTTTTAAATTCCCTCTCCGTTATTTATAAATTCCCTGTTATATTTTATAAATCCGATCTCTATTGTTTATACATTACCTCTCAATATTTTATAAATTCCCTTTATTATTTAATAAATCCGATCTAATTGTTTATACCTTCCCTCTCAAAATTGTATAGATTCTCTGTAATATCTAAAAATCCCATCTAGATTGTTCATACATTCCATCTCAATATTTTAGAAATTCCCTGTAATATTTTATAATTCCCATATAAATTTTTTATATATTCCCCCTGGATATTATATAAATTTCCTGTAATATTTTCAAAATCCCATCTCAATAATTTAAGCATCTCCTTTTAATATTTTATAATTTCCCTTTCAATATTTTATAAATTCCATCTAAATGGCTTATACATTCCCTCTCAATATTTTATAAATTCACTTTAATATTTTTTAACCCCATCTTAATGGTTGATACATTCCCTTTCAAAATTTTATAAATTCCGTTTCAATATTTGATATATCACATTTCAATGGTTTATAGTTCCTTTTTAAAATTCCCTTAAAAATTTTATGAAACCAGTCTCAAAGGTTTTTTAATTTCCTCTCCATTATTTATAAATTCCCTGTAATATTTTATAAATCCGATCTCTATTGTTTATACATTCCCTTTCAATACTTTATAAATTCCCTCCCAATATTTTATACATTCTAAGTCAATATTTTATGAAAATCCCATATCAATATACAAATATTAAATGGAAAAAGTCTAAATTTAGTTACCCAGAGAAATATATATATTTTTAGTATAATAGAAATAGCGAGTTGATCGCTGAAAAATATGTTTTTACATTTAATTGTTGCAAAATCACTAGGCCTACCAGGTATCACTAAAATTTAGGAAAAATATGTTAATTTTTATACCCCTCCCCCAAGAGAGGGTAAAAAAAAATATTATGAGTCCCCGTGGAACATGGTAGGGTCTTGGTCTTGGTGCTAATAGCCCTGAACCAATGTAATTACATAAGCAAAGTGTAATTAAATAAAAACTCATTTTTTATAAAATAACATAAATATTGAGATTAAAGGGTAAACAATATTCATTTTTTTCTTCAATAAGTTTCTTTCTCCTCTCCTTGGTTCAAACTTTTGTATAAATTGTTATATTTTGATATATTTTATTAATAGTTACCTTATCCATTAATATAAATGTGGCTTCCTTTTGGTTATTTTGTAAAGATCATTTGGCAGCGTCACATAGAAGATACCGTCGAAGTATCGAGCATCGTGTCGTTCCTCTTTACGGAAAGTCTCCATACAACAGGAAG